CCTGCATTACCCGAGAAAAAGGAACCTGCTAGTATGAGAAAACATCTCCCCAAACGGAATGCAATTCCAGATGGAATTCAAGGGGTAAGAAGACTTACAAACTTACAATATAATATTATTTACGTCTAGTACCACAAATGCAAAACAGAACAACGTAAGTCAAATAAAAAATGCATTTGATTCACTTCTAAGTGATAAGAACCTACTGTTCACTGACCTTCCAAGTAGATCCTTAAATCTAGCAATATGCCCACCCTCCTTGATTCTATCCTCACACTGTACATCTATACAGTACTCAGTTCCTGGAACACTCAGCAATTAGAAACTCAGACACTGTATAGGAGCTAATTCCAATCTTCCCTGAACAAGAAACTATGACAATTTAGCAATTACAACTCACTACTGAGAGAATCACCAGGAGATACAGACATTCCATATTATATATTATAAGAATTATAATTAGCTTTACTTTGGTCCAATGTTAGAAAGGGAATTTACTATTTTTCCCCTTTCACATCATGTGTAAATTCCCTACAGATTTCTTCCTAGAGTCTGTGATAGTTAGGTTTTGATCTGCAGATTAGAAAACTAAGGAGTCTATATCATTAGTGCCAGCTGTAGTACAATAGAAAAAAACACCAAAGTGGCATCAATGACCCTGATTCTAGTTTCTGCTCAGTCATAAAATTGGCTATATGATTTTGTTCAACTCAGCCTTGGTCTCCTCACTATAAAACAGGGATAATATCCACACCATATGGAGCTTGATGATTAAATGAGAAAGTGCCAGTATAATCCTTTAAAAATGAACATTACTCAAATGTAAGAAAGCAGTAGTACAGAAGTCTTTAAAAAAATTCATGGAACACTCTCCTCCTCACTTCCCCAGCAGTGGCAGCTTGCAGCCACGCCCTCAGAATCACACCTGCGACCACCATTTAATCATCAATCTAGAGACAGGTGCCCACCAGAGAGGCCTGAGTCCCACGGATACCATGAGCACTGTGGTGCCAGAGCGCGACCAAGGAGGTAGGCCTCACCGCCGCCAGACCCCATCCCCAGCCCATTTGAGTGTGTGCCAACCAGAGAGGCGCCTCCCTAGAGAGGCCCAAGACCCGAGGCAACCACGCACCTGAGGAGCCAGCAGGTGACCAAGCAGACACTGAGGCACCCGTGCCAAATTGGCAGGGATCCTAGCCAGACAATAGTGTCAAACCAGTGGACCGTGACATCCCTTGCCACAATGACTAAACATCAAAGGAAAGATACCAGAAATATGAAAAATCAAGAA